TGAGTATGAAAATTGACCTGGTTCGTTCTTAAAAGTGATCAGATCTGTTCATGAGAGTCAACGAAAGTGTCCTGATTCGTTCTTAACAGTGATCAAATCTGTTCATGAGAGTGAACTGATCCGTTCAGGAGAGTGAACGAAAGTGTCCTGATTCGTTCTTAACAGTGATCAAATCTGTTCATGAGAGTGAACGAAAGTGTCTTCTTAACAGTGATCAAATCTGTTCATGAGAGTGAACTGATCCGTTCATGAGAGCGAACGAAAGTGACCTGATTCGTTATTAACAGCGATCAAAGCTGTTCATGAGAGTGAACTGGTCCGTTTATGAGATCGGACGAAAGCGTCCTGATTCGTTCTTAACAGTGATCAAATCCGTTTATAGTTGACTGATCCGTTCTTCAGAGTGAACCAAAGTGACCTGATTCGTTCTTAACAGTGAACGAGGGTGAATTGTTCCGTTTATGAGGGTGGTGAACGAATGTGACTTGATTCGTTTTCAAGAGTGATCAAATCTGTTCATGAGTAAACGAAATAATCTGATTCTTTCTTAAGAGTGAACTGATCCGTTTATGGACAACCGGATCTTAAAAAGGAGCTCGCGTTTTTCCGTTTTCAATTCACTTTGAACAAAGGAGTCAGTTTCTTTCTCGATGTAGGATAATTTAGGAATGTCTCGAGACGTGGAGAGAAGGGCAGGAGGTGAACCCTCAGCATCGGGATAACTTTGTGCCGGAATCATCTCCAATCTGACAGTTGTAGAAAGGGGGAAAAAGAAGGAAACATTTCACTCAGTCCGATTATAATTCGTGCTTCGATTCGTCATCCTCGGGACGGGTGAAGGGCGCCAGGTGAGGCAACGCGGATGCAAATCCCGACTCCCGTTCTGCTCAGGAGAGCTTTCTCGAGTCTGTGTGGCAACCGGGTCGCGAATGTCACAACAGCGGGCTTTTCCCCCATGTGATCTTTTGCACCTGGGGGAGGGGGGTTGTGGAAAAGACGGCTCCGGGATCCGGGTGTCGACGGTGATTCACCCCGACTCCCACGGATGACGAAAATAGACACGAGTCGACGATTGTTCCGTCCAGGTTGCACAATATATGGGCGCAGCGCGTCTCCCAACGCGGAGGAGTCACCTCGCATTCTTCAGCCCTTTTTATGAACGAATCGTGTCACTCGTTCGTTCTCGAGATTCACTCTTGTGAACGGATCACATTACTGTTATGTCCACGTCAGTACACTCTCGTCTGCTCTTAAGGACGGATCACTTGATTCTTAAGAACGAATCAGGTTACTCTTGTTCACTCGTATGAACGGATCGTTTCACTTTCATGAACGGATTTGATCACTCTTAATAACGAACCTGGTTACTTTCGTTCACTCTTATGAACGGGTCAGTTCACTCTCGTTTGCTCTGAAGGACGGAGCACTTCACTCTTAAGAACGAATCAGGTTTCTATAGTTCACTCTTATGAACCGATTTGATCAGTCTTAAGAACGAACCTGGTTACTCTCGTTCACTCTTATGAACGGACCAGTTCACTCTCACGAACAGATTTGATCACTCTTAAGAACGGATCAGTTGCTCTCATGAACAGATTTGGTCACTTAAGAACGAATCAGGACGCTTTCATTTACTCCCATGACTGAATTCACGCTTATGAACGAATCAGATTTCTATAGTTCACTCGTATGAACAGATCAGCTCACTCTCATGAAAAGATTTGATCAGTCTTAAGAACGAATCAGGTTACTCTCGTTCACTCGTATGAACGGATCAGCTCACTCTCATGAACAGATTTGATCAGACTTAAGAACGAATCAGGTTACCCTCGTTCACTCGTATGAACGGACGAGTTGACTCTCATGAACAGATTTGATCACTCTTAAGAACGAATCAGGTTACCCTCGTTCACTCGTATGAACGGACGAGTTCACTCTCATGAACAGATTTGATCAGTGTTAATAACGAACCTGGTTACTCTCGTTCACTCTTATGAACGGATCAGTTCACTCTCATGAATAAATTTGATCACTCTTAAGAACTAACTGTTTGAAAAGTACAACTTGCACTTCCTCATATCCTTAGACAACCTCTGTGATTGGCATAATTATTTTTCAATTCTTATTAATCAAATTAAAAACAACATCACGAAGAGTGCCGGTCACGTGTCCAAGCATCTACCCATCTCACACTTTACAAGAAGGTACAAATTTCTCCTGCTTTGTTCGACCTACATGAAGATAATATTGACGGTCTTTGTCTCAATGAGTTGTCATGGCTATTCAAGCTATGAAGTGAGGTTTTGCACTTAAACTCGGCTGTTTGGATCAGAGGGGAATTGGGAAACTGTATCCCACTTCTTGGCGGAGTGCTCATCCCTGGGTGAGATTCGGTTGTTGCATCTCGGATGTTTCACTCTCCCAGGGTTGACCTGTTATGGGTTTTGAGTGGATCAAATTCGCGGCCCTTAATTCGTCACGCTAGGCATGCATGGAACTTCAGATATGAGTTAATTAAGGCGTTTAATTTTTTATTTCTATTATATAACCTGTTTTTCTATTCCCTCTTTTACTTAATATTATGAGCGGTTATGATTGGAGATGGACCCACTAGGCCGTAAGGGTGATGCGCTCCGTTCCTGAGAATGACCAGATTCGTTCATAAGAGTGGACAGATCCGTGAATCGTTCACAAGTGTCAACCGATCCGCCGAGCTCCTGGCCGTCTTCCTTCCTTATACCCGCTTTCCAAAGTTGCGATCTGGTAAACGAGAGGGTCCAGAAGGCCTCGCTTCGAAAGTTGTCCCGTTCCAAGGATGGAGAAGCCAAGGATTTTTAGGTTAAAGAAGAAAAAAAAACACCACACAACCGGGTCATTCTCCGTTTGATTTCTCGTTACATGAGATTACGCTCACTGAGTACGCGTCTTTTGTCCGAATTCCACGGAAATTAGGCCCTTGCATCACCCGGTGTTCGTCAGCCCTCGCGAAATCTCTCGTTTGTTTTGTACTTTTCCTCGCGCCACCCGGAACGCGCCGAGGGATAACGGTTCCACCGTTCGTCCTTGGTCGTCCCCGGGTCACCTTGGCCTCGTGTTCCTCGTCGCCTGGGGCACCGGGGGGACGAAAAAATTACAACCCAGAGACCGCGGGAGAAAGGCACAAACGGGCCAGGTTGCACAATTGACAAATTGGGAAATGAGTCAAGATGGAATAAGGATCTGGCAAAGAAACGAGCTCCTGTCCTTTAAATCCTGATCCATGGAAAATCACTTCGAACAGGAAGCGTTTCTCGTTTCCCGGTGTAAGAGATCAGAGGAACCGTCTATCAGGGTATAAGCTCCTAGGTCCTATAGTCCTAGTATCAGTATGACAGGTTTCCCCAAAGGAGCTCGAGTTTTTCACCCTCAGCACTGAAAAATCACATTGTGCCTGGATCGTCTGACAGTCCCTTGAAATATGTCAGCCTACCAGATATGCACAATTGAGCATTTTGGTTCAGTCTTAATATAATAGCTCTTAAGAAGGGGTCGGTTCGATCTCATTCGCTCAAATGAACCGAAAAGTTCACTCTCGGTCGCATTAAAAAAAACGACCAATTCACTTGCCTTCATTCCCATTAAATGATAAGGGTTAAGAAAAAAAAGGTTGGGGGCCGCGGTAGCCGAGTGGTTAGGGTGAGAGACTCTCGGCTCGTAGTACCGGTCGTGGGTTCAATTCCCGCCGTCGCCTCTGGCCTTTTTTCACGATACCCTTCCCCCCAAAACGAATACGCATAACATAATTGTCTGTTTTCACTCATACACGGATCAGTTCACTTTTCGAACAGATTAGATCGCTCTTAAGAGTGGATCAGTTCACTCTCATGAACGGCTTTGATCACTCTTAAAAAGGGAATCAGATTAATTTGGTTAAATCTTGTGAACAGATTTTATAACTCTTATGAACGAATCATTTCACTCTCGTTCACTCTCATGAACGGATCAGGTGAATTTTAAGAACGGATCAGGCCACTTTCGTTTACTCATGAACGGGTTGGATCACTTTTACAAAGTAATCAGTTCACTCTCGTTCACACGTAAACACGAATCAGGTCAATTTCGTTCACTCTTATGAATAGATTTGACACTCTTAAGAACGGATCGAGTCACTTTCGTTCACCCTTATGAACGGATCAGGTGAATTTTAAGAACGGATCAGGCCACTTTCGATCACTCAGAACGGGTTTGATCACTTTTAAGACGAATCAGTCCACTCTCGTTCACTCTTAATGATGAGTCAGATCAATTTCGTTCACTCTCATGAACGGATCAGTCCACTTTCCTTCGTTCTTATGAAAGGACCAGTTCACTCTCCTGAACCGATTTGATCACTCTTATGAACGAATCATTTCAGTCTCGTTCACTCTCATGAACGGATAAGGTCACTTTGGTTCTCCACCCTAATGAACGGATCAAGTCCATCTCGTTCACTCTCATGAGCAGATCAGGCACTTTCGTTCATCGTTATGAACGAATCATTTCATTCACAATAACGGATCAGGACACTTTCGTTCACACTCACGAACGGGTTTGATCACTCTTAAGACGAATGAGTTCACTCTTAAGAACGAATCAGATAAGTTTCGTTCACTCTCGTGAACAGACCAGTTCACTCTTCACTTCAAACGGAGTTGATCACTCTTGAGAATGAATTTGATCATTTGCGTTCACTCTCATGAACCGGTTTGGTCATTTTGGAGAACGAGTCAGCTCATTTTCGTTCACTCTTATTGATTCTCGACGTCACACGTGAAAAAGTGCCGAACGGCCCGCGGCGCAGCGCAAGGCGCGACTCTTTCCTTTTTGCGTGCCGATGACCCTGTTAAGAATAGGTCGACAATGGAGGATTGGTCACGGACACGGCCAGTTAAGGCTGAAAGAACAAAACTCCCAATGCAATTAAAAGAAAAGAAAAAGAAAAGGCCGAGGCGTTGATCTTTTGTCTTTTGTTTTATTCGCAGATCATGTTGCTGGTCCTCGCTTTCGCACTCTTGGCCCTGACCAGGGCGGAGGTCGACGTGATAACATCGCCGGGTCCGGGCAATCAGTACGTCAGACTTCAAACCGGTAAGTCTGGAAGAATTTTTGTCAGTTTTGTTAATTTTGTCATCGATCATGATTGATTTTTTTACAGGGCATCATAGGGATGATGGGAATCTGAGTGAGTATCGGACGTCTCGATTTTATGTTCTGTTTTTTCTTTTTTATAGGTTTTGGTTTTGTTTTTAGGCGAATCGTCTGTGCAGGTGAAAGACGAAGGGCTGACGGGTGTCCAGGGGAAATATCCGGTGAAAAAAGCCGAGGTAGGCACATTGAAAAAGGACTCATCTTCTTTCAAGGCTACCGTGAAGGACGAAGGCTCGTCAGGCGTGCTGAAGAAGCAATCGGGCAACGGCGTCCCTTCACTCAAGCACTTCCACTACGACATCATCAGTAAAGCCAAGCCCGACGACAAAGGCGGGCTCGATTTCGACGACGACTTCCATCCCCTGAACAATAAGAAGCTCGTCCCTGCCGGCACGTCCCAGGCGTCGAGGGTGAACGTGAAGAAAGGACCCAACGGCCAGGACTACGAGTACGAGTACGTCTATTACTATTACGACGAAGACGAGGACGACACGCCCGCCACGACCCAACGTCCTCGCTACTCGGAAGTCGAACGGGCCACCAGGAGGAAGGAGCAAGACGACGAGCCGAGGAGGAGGTCCGAGGACAGGTTCAGGAGCAGGCAAGAACCCGAGGAGGAAGGACCCAGGAGGAAATCGGATGAAAGGTTCAGGAGCAGGCAAGAACCCGAAGATGAAGAGCCAAGGAGGAAATCCGACGACAGGTCCAGAACCAGGTACACGACGATCGAAAGGTCCAAGGGTAAAGAGCCCGTAGCCACCACGGCCGAGCCCGCCGTCAACGAGGTGCTGCCCAGGGGAGGTCAAAGGTGTGTCAAACCCAGACAAGGATCTAATTTTTCTTTTTTTATAATGGTTTTCGTCTGTTTTACAGGACAAGAGGGAGGCAGATGGAACAGGCGGACGAAGAGAGGTCCAATACGCGGTTCCCGTCGAGAGGGAGGGGCCAGGCTCAGACGACACAGCAGCCCATCACGGACCCACCGGTCAGGTCGAGGACAGGTGAGTCGAATCCCACGATAATCGCTATCTTAAAATCGTCCTTTTCCTCCAACGTTCATCGTCCTTATTGTTAATCGGTTGGCAGCTAAGCGGAACCACGGTTGACTTTTGTTTTAAAAAAAACGAACGTCGTATACTTGGATCCCTTACTTCGAGTGGATCGAATTCTCCAATTCAGGGATTCGTTGAAAAGGTGTTCTTTTCGTGGATCGGTTCGTACCCGCTCTTATCAAGGCTCCTGTCCAAAAGACGCTCATTTCGAGGAGCGAATCAAAAGTCGTTTATTTTGTTAGGAATCAGATCAAGAGCCGCTCTTTTTCGGGGATCCCGATCAAAAGCTGCTTATTTCGAGGTTTCGAGGATCTGATCAAGAGCCGCTTTTTTCAAGGAGCCCTGAGCAAAATCTATCTTTTCGTGGAGCGGATCAAAAGCCGTTCATTTTTTTGTATAACAGATTAAACTATTCAAATCGCTCATTTTTCAAGGATTCGGATAATGAGCCGCTCATTTTTTAGGGATTAAATAAACCAACAGTAGTTTTTTTCTTGGTTCGTGTTCAAAAGCAGTTATTTTTGGGGGGAATCAGAACAAAAAACGCTTTTTCATGAACGGATAAAAACAGCTCTATTTCCGGGGATTGTATCAAGAGAGGCTCTTTTTATTTTAGAGATCGGATCCAAAACGCTCTTTTTTTTATCGGATCGGCCGCTCTTTTTTCAAGGAGCCCGGAGCAAAATCTGCTTTTTTTGGGGATCGCGATCAAAAGCTGATTATTTCGAGGATCTGATCAACAACCGCTTTTTTTCAAGGAGCCCTGAGCAAAATCTCTCTTTTCGTAGAGAGGATCAAAAGCCGTTCATTTTTTTTTATATAACAGAGTAAACTATTTAAATCGCTCTTTTTTCAAAGATTCGGATCATGAGCCGCTCATTTTTTAGGGATTAAATAAACCAATAGAAGTTCTTTTCTTGGTTCGTGTTCAAAAAAGTTATTTTTTTGGTGGAATCAGAACAAAAAAACGCTTTTTCATGATCGGATAAAAACAGCTCTATTTCCGGGGATTGTATCAAGAGTAGCTCTTTTTATTTTAGAGATGGGATCAAAAACGCTGTTTTTTATCGGATCAGAGGCCGCTCTTTTTCAAGAAGCCCGGAGCAAAGTTGTTTTTTTTGGGGGGAGGGAGCGGATCAAAAGCCGCTCATTTTTTGGGGATCAGATCAAGAGACGCTCTTCTTTTCTTTTCTTTCTTTTTTTTTGGGAGGGGGTCCTGATCAAATGACGCTCTTTTTCATGGATCGGATCAAAAGCCGCTCTTTTCCAAGGAGCCCAGAACAAAATCTGCTCTTTTCGGGGAACGGATCAAGCTCATATTTTACGGATCTAGATCGGCGCTGCTCTTTTTTTCGTGGATCGCATCACGAGCCGCACTTTTCAGTGAAAAGATCGGCACCTCTTTTATGTATTTGATCAAAAGACCCTCATTTTTTTTTTTTTGTATATTCATTTTTATGATGGATCATCAAAGCCTCTCTTTATAGTGATTGAATCAAGAGCCGCTCAGTTTTTTAGGGATAGGTCAAAAAGCGCCATTTTGTGGTATTGAATCAACTGACGATCAGCGGAGCGCATCAACAGGCGTTTTTTTGTCGATCAAAAGCGCTCTCTCTCAAGTCGCATTGACTTTCTTCCAGGAAAAGTGTCTTTGAGGAATTCGAGGATCTCTATAAAATTGAAATTGAAGAAGAATTTTAAAATAAAAAAACAAAAGTAATAAAAGAGGAGCCGGTCCGCGCGGCCTCGTCACGACCTTGACTCCGGGCGTCTGTCGAGAGTGAGAGCCGAAAAGAGAGAGCTCTCCCCGTGGGGGGACTTTCGATTTCGAATCCGACCCACGAGGCAGGAGGGACTTTGCGAAGCCCCCCTACAGTTTTTTTCTTGTTTTTTTTCCCCTCTTCAAAAAGTATTTTTGACATGTTCGACCCCGTGTTGGGCCAGAGGCCGCGGTTCCGTGACGACGGGGCAAAGGTGGACGTTGCGAATCCCGTCACGCCGCCGGCGCCGCGACATTTAACGATCCTGGCATTTCGCCGATGACACGAATGAAGAATGAAGATTTCAACCGATTCGGCAGGGAGCGGGGTGAAAATTTTTCAGCAAGGAACATACGTTTTGAACGAGCGGAACGTTAAAAAAGTTTACGTGAAAAAGCCGCTCTGAATCGGATCACTAAAAAAAAACTTCTTTTGACCTTCATCTCTTAAAAGAGCAGCACGATCTGATCCCTACAAAATGAGAGACTTTTGATACGACCCTTAAAAAAAAAGAACTTTTGATCCGTTCACTGAAAAGAGCGGTTTTGGTTACATTCCTAAAAAATAATTGCTTTTGAGAAGGGCGGAATTGATCTGTTACCCTGACAAAGAGCAGCATTCAAATACATGAACGAGAGATTTCGATCCTACCACTTAAAAGAGCGGCTCTTGGTGCGGTTCATGAAAAGAATGAGTGCTTTTTAATCCGACCACTATAAAATTCAGCGGTTTTTGATCTGTCCCCCGAAAAGCTGGGCTTTTGATTATATTCCTTTAAAAAAATAACGGTTTTTGATACGATCTCTAAATAATGGGCCACTCTTGATCCGATCCCCTAAAAGAACGGCTTTGAATATTTTCCATTAAAAAAATTAATTAAAATTTTTATTGATCTAATCCTAAATGACCGTCTATCGACCAGGATTCCTGAAAAGAGCGGCATTTGAACCAAACCCTCAAAAGAACACCTTTTGGTCCGCTTCATCAAACAATGGCTCTTGATCCGATCCATCAAAAGAGTTTTTCATCTGATCCCTTAAAAATAAAATAAAAATAAAAATAAAACCTCACAAAAAAGACCGACAGTCAATCCCTACAAAAATACAAATTAAATTTAAAAATTACTGCTCTATAACCTATCCTTCAAAAGAACTGCTTTTGGTCCCACATTCATGAAATAACGGCTTTTGATCCGATCCTTCAAAAGACCAGCTTTTGGACCTATCCCGCCAAAAAATGAGCGGCTCTAAGAAAAAAGCGTGGATTCGACTCGATCCCTGAAAAGAGCGTCTCTTATTACGACTCATGAAACGTCCCCCCCTCAAAAAAAAACAGCGGTTTGATCAATCATTTCCAGAAATGAGCGGCTTTTGACCGAATCCTTTAAATGAACGTCTATTGACCGGGGTTCCTGAAAAGAGCGGCACTTGATCCAAACTTTCAAAAGAGGCAGCTTTCGTTTCGACCCCTACGAACACCGAAATTCGGTCCAATTCCTTTAAAAAAAATTTTTTAAAAATTGCCAACTCTTGATACGGCTCGTAAAAAAGAACGGTTTTTGAACTTATTCATGACATGGATTCCTGTCCGAACCGATCCTTCAAAAAAGCATCTTTTCGTCCTATCCCCCAAAAAATGAACGGCTCAAAGAAAAAAGTGCGGATTCGACCTGATCCTTGAATAGAGCGGCTCTCGATCCGATCCCTGTAAAGAGCATCTATTGATCTAATAAAAAAGCGCCTATTGACTAGGATTCCTGAAAAGATCGGTTGATCCAAACCCTCAAGAGAGTAGCCTTTGATCTGATCACTAAAAAATAGCGTCTTTCAATCCTTTTTTCGGGTCAATTCCATTATATATTAAATTTAAAAAATAAAAAAAGCTCTTGATGTGATTCCTAAAAAGAGGTTTTTGAACACCTATTCATGACATGGCTCCTTCCGATCCTTCAAAAGAGTAGCCTTGGAACCTATCCCCCAAAAAAATGAGCGGCTCTAGAAAAAATTTTTTAAAAAAAGCTCGGATTCGAACCCTGAAAAGAGTGGCTCTTGTTATTTACCATGAAAAGAGCCACGTCAATTCAGACCCCCTCCACCCCCGCAAAAAAAAAAAAACTGGTACGATCAACCATTTCCAGAAATGAGCGGCTTTGGACCTAATCCTTTAAATGAACGTCTATGATCCCTCAAAAGGGCAGTTTTTGTTCCCCTACAAACACCGAATTTCGGACCAATTCCTTTAAAATAAAATACCAGGTCCTGTCCCTTTAAAGGTAGGTTTCTGATCCGATCCCTAAAAAAATGTGCCTATTTCGATCCTGTTCCCTGAGTGGAGAAAAAAACGACAACACCGCGCCAGCCACTGTGCAGAAAAACCAGTTTTCGATTTTAATAAAATACCCGGGCCCGGCCTTTCGACGTCCTTGGCATACCCTCACGACATTTCTCAACCTGGCTGCTCTTCAATACACAATTTTCAAAAAAATTTCGCCTTCGGGATATTTCAAATTTTAAAATGTTTTGATATGTTTAGCCACGCGTCGTGGGAAAAAAAACACAAACAGCCAAAGCAGCGTTGGGCACTTTCATCGTTTTCACTTTCGTCCCGTACAACTTTCAGAACAGGGTTTTTTCCCCCGCCGGCCCTTTCTTGATCGGAATGCTTTGAAATTAATATCAAAATTGATTATTTAAGAGGAAAGAGAAAAAATGTCTGTTTTACTTAGCAAGATGGAAAATTGGAATTTTTTTCTTTTGGTCCAGGAGGTGGAAACGTCAGAAGACCCAGTTTGGTCGACAGCAGCAGCTTCAGGACTCATTCGAGCGACGTGGCGCCGGAAACCGACCCGGGAAAATATTATACGAGAGGTGAGAGAGGTCTTAAAAAATTAAAATGGACTTTTTATTTTGTTTTTTTATTTTTATTAAATCAAAAGGGTCCGAAGTCGTTCAGGACACGAGGGAATCTGACTTGGAAGAGTATGTAACTGACACGCTCCAACCGACGACCTTCTCGCCTCAGACTACGCCCAAATACACCCAGGAGACAGGAGACAGTGAGTTTTTTGCTTTTTGTCATGTTGAGTGGTTTTTATTTTATTAATTTTTTTTACATATTTTTTTAGATATGCCGGATAAAGCGGCTCTGGATCTGTACGCGATATTACAGCAGACCCAGGAGGAAAACTACGTCTCGGAGGAGGTGGAGGAAACGACGACCATGATGCCAACTACGACGACACCTGAGCCGACGACGACACCTACAACGACGACGACGACAACAACGACAACGACGACGACGACGACACCGGCGCCGCTTCCTGGGAGAGGGCGTTTCCGCGGTGTCGGCAGCGCCAGGACCCGCCCTCGTCACGGCTACGGCTCGACGACCCAAGCGCCTCAGGAGCCTCAGAAAGACAGCGAAGAGCCCAAACGTTCTAAGTTCCAACCCAGCAACACAAGAAACCACGGAGCTGTAAGATTTTTTTAATATTTTTTTTCTTTACCGACTAAAACACCGATTTTTTCAGTCGAGCTACGCGAGAAGGGGTTCCCAGAGGAGTTCGACGACCCAACAACCCCAGGAAGAGAGCACGACGCACAGGCCGAGGAGCAGTTTCGGTTCGAACAGGTACAACAGGCCGAGAGGTAGACAGCCGGTGCAACATCAGGATGAGGAAAAGGCGGAATCAACGACTCAAGCGGCCACTTCGCCACGTCCGACGCGGCCTAGGCTCAACATCAGCGGTGCCAGGCCGTTGAGACCCGGCCCGAGGATCAACCTGAGAGGAAAGCTTCCGGTCACATCGCCAACGCCAGCGCCTCAGGAAGAAGCCCCGGCGCCGACCCAACCTACGCACCAGGTAACAAGATCGACGTGAAACCCTAGTTCCCTGGTTTCAACTTGAATTTTTGAAATATAGGTTCTTAAAATTCTGCTTTAGAGATACTTTCATGATCTGATCAAAAGTCAGCTCATTTTACTGAATGATACGAGGAATCTTTTGAGGAATGATAGCTCCCGATCTCATCGAAAGCTGCGCCTGATCCCAGCTGGCTTAGGGAGCTCACGGCACACCTGATCTTGGTCAGGCTCCCTGTAAAAGGAGAAGCTTTTGATCCGAGACCCTGAAAAGAGCGGCTTTTGACCCGACGACCTGAAAAAAAGAGGCTTTTGAACGGTTTCGAAAGAGAGCGGCTGCTGATCTGAAACCATGAAAAGAACCGTTTTTGGTTTAGATCCCTTTAAAGAGAGACAATCAATCGGAAACCCTGAAAAGAGCGGGTTTTGAACGGTTACTGAAAACGAGTGGCTGCTGATCCGGCCCGCCCGAAAAGGCGGTTTTTGATCCGAGACCCTGAAAAAAGCGACTTTTGATCCGGAAACATGAAAAGAGCGGCTGCTGATCCGAAACTATGAAAAGAACTGTTTTTGATCCAGATCCCTAAATTGAGCGACTGTCAATCGGAAACCATGAAAAAAACCTTTTGATCCGATTTTCGAAAAGACCGTTTTTCGATCCACGCCCCCAAGAAGAGTCGTTACGATCAGTTCGATCCACATCCCTAAAAAAAGGGGGTCGGCTTTTGGCCATATTGCTCAAAAGAGCCAATCTAGATGCGATCCACAAAAAGATCGGGTTTGATTCTGAATCCCCGAGAAGAGCCATTTTTATCCGATCCACAAAAAGAGTTGCTTTGATCAGATTCCTGACAAGTCTGGATTTTTATTCGGATAAAAAAAAAAAAGGGGGGCGACTTTTGTTCCGGATCCCTTACAAGGGCGGTTTCGATTCAATTACTGAAAAGGGCAGCTTTGATCCGACCACTGAAAAGTGATGTTCCGATCAGATCTCTGAAAAGATGCCTCTCGATGCGACCATTACAAAAAGAGCAGCTTTTGATCCGCACCCCTAAAAAAATTGCTGAAAAGAGCGTCTATTGAACCGTTCCTAGAAAAGATCCTAGTACTCTACTTCCCAATTCTTTCTTTTTCTTCCCCTTTGTATTCTGGAGGGTGGAAAGGATCTTTCCAGGAACGAATACGTGTCTGATTTTATTATTTGTATGAGCAAGTGGAGGATCTAGGAGTATGAGTCGTGTAATTGAGTTGACTTGTCTTTTGCAGGAGGAATCGCCGGCGGAGACGACCCCGGCCCCGGCCGCACCCCCGGCGCCCCAGGATGCCCTGGCCCGGCTCCGGAACCGGCCGAGGCTCCGTGTCAGCCCGAGGCCCCACCACACGACGCCGGCGGAGCCGAGCCCGCCGCCCGTCAGCGAGCAGCAGGAAGACGTCCAGCCTGAGGAAGCTCAGCAACCGCCGGCGACGGAACAGAGCAGGCCAGCACAGTCGCACCTCCTCAGACGCCGCCCCGCCATCAGGAGGCTCACACTCCCACACTCACAGCCCCAGCAACAGCGACGATAAATAAAAATATAATCAAAAATAATTTATTTTCCTTTTTGTTTTTGTTTTTAGCAAACTTTATTTTTTCCAGCATAATTATCAATAAAGAGAATGTTTTTATATATATTTAATAAATGACATGACAGTCGTGTGCCAAGTGTAAATATAAAGAAAAATCTTTATCTTTTTAAATTATACATACTTTCCAATTTTAAAGTTTTAATTTTTTTAACAGCCCAAAACCCATCAGAATATCTGCCCCGAAAAGAGCAGCTGTGGCCCAGATCCTTTAAAAAAAGAGCTACTTTTGATCAGTACTTCCGAAAAGAGCGTTTTCTATCCAGATCCAGAATAGGGCGGCTTTTGAACGGTTACTGAACAAAGCGGCTCCTGATCCGAAACCACGAAAAGAACAGCTTTTCAACCAGATATCTTAAAATAAAAATAAATAACAGGAAAGAAAAGAGCGGCTTTTGATCGGGAATTGTAAAAAAATGTTTTTGATCTGAGACCCTGAAAAGAGCGGCAGCAGTTCAGATAACCTCAAAAGAGCAGATTTTGAACCCAGACCCTAAAAGTAGCGACTGCAGTTCAGAGAACCTGAAAAAGCGGCTTTTGATCTGACACCCTGAAAAGAGCGGCTGCAGTTCCGAGACCCCGAAAAAACGGCTTTTGATCTAGATCTATTAAAAAAGGTCGGTTGCCCTAATCTGAAATAACGTCTTTTGATGTGATTACCCTGATAAAAAGCGGCTCTGATATAATCTCTTAAAAAAAGCACAAAGATAATGTGTCATCGTATTCTGCATATATTTGAATGTTGTTCTTTTTGTCTTGCGATGCTCTCCTCGATGCAGACGGAGCACTCGTCTTGGAGACCGTTCCTCTTCACACAGGGCCAGTTCCGGCCCAGTTTACCGTAGAGGAAATTGTACGTGGCCGACTCTTCCGCGAACCTGGTAGGAGAACGGTCGCAGGCGCAGTAGGACCTCCTGCCGCCCGAGTACTCCCTCCACGACGGGAACCGCACGTTCTTCGGGTGCCTGCGGCCCGGGGGGTAGGTGCCTATATTTTCTGAAGACGCCGTCTGTACGGGGAGGACGGATTTCCACGGTTTCCTCTTCTTCGGCTTCTCTTCCTTGCCCTTCGAGAAGCGGAACATCGCCTGTCTCTGTATTGTCGTGTCTTGTGTGGTTTCGTTTTTTTATTTGCTGTTTGTATTAGTGTTGTTAGATCATATGGTTTTTTTATGGATTGGATTTATGGGATTTCTGAGACTCGAGGGGCATCTCTTGCTACAGGATGGCGTGGGGTGTGGGAAAACGACCGGGATCCCCTTGAGTCCAGCAGGCGGTATCCTTTCTTCCCATAACACCCCATGTGGTGTCGAAAGGAGAAACATATGATCCCTTAGTACAAATAGACTAGACACGTACAAATACAAAAAGACACTATGTTCCAGTCTCCATACGAAGCCGGGGACGCGATGAGGAGGCGGTTCTCGTCCTGGCGTTCGGCCTACCGTCTACCGAGGTCGACGAGCTGCGACAGGTCCCTAGGCCGCCACCCGGAAGACATGAGCTGGGAGGAGTATCTCAGGTTGAAGAACTGTTTTCGCTACGGCCAGTCCGCCACGGCCGAGGACACGTCAGATTACAACTACCTGATGGGCAAGCTGGGAAGGAATTGGGTCTGCATGAGGAGGAACGGCCTCCAGGACGACTGCCCCACCTGCAAGGAATGCAGGGGGCGGGATCGAAAGCAGACTTTCTACTGCTTGCGATGCTTGTCTAACTCAAGACAGAGACCATGTTGCCAACGCGTCCCGATCACGTGAAACTGGAACTTACGACAGGCAGAACTATCACCGATTACCGAATAGGCCGGGGGTCCGCGCGGTCTCTCTGTTCATCCCACACCACCCCTGCAACCAACCTTACACAACTGTACCACCCCCTCTTTTAAAAACAGCGCAACGGTGCTGAAAATCCTACAGAGCACACCGCCTTTTAAATAATTTAAATAAAACAAAAAATAAATATATTATTTACTATGTATTGTTTGGTGTGGTGTTTTCCCTCGTAGCAGTGAAAAAATGAAATTTGTTTAAATTTATCCATAATGATTATTAAACTGCAATAAATAAATGTCTTACCTGAGGCCAGCATGAGTGATGCATATCCGTTCTTTAGATACTGCTTTAACAAATAAATCAATAAATAAAAATTCAACCTGATGGTTTGAAAGATAGTCAGACCTGGCGGATGGGATGGCTGTTGATTGGTGGCTGTGGGTCAGATGGTATGATAGTGTCAGACACGATAAATAGGACTGTCAGATCTAACGGATGGAAAAACAGTCGGATATAACCATACAGGTTTTTTTTGGTTTATTTGGCATCAAACCATACAGTTATTACCGACTGTCAGCCTGGTATGTGAAGACTCATCAGGTCTGACAAACCGGTGGTTCCGACAGTCTCACTTCATCAGGTCTGAAATCTGTCAAACCTTCGGAACTGTCTTTCACTTCATCGGGTATGAAATAACGTCAAAACTGTCGGATCCAATAGTTTTTCCATCCGTCAAGTCTGATGGTTTATAAAACCATCAGATCTGGCAGTCCTTTCACTTCATCAGGTCTGGATGGTATATAAAACCATCAGATCTGGCAGTCCTTTCACTTCATCAGGTCTGACACTTTCATTCGTCAGGTCTGACAGTCTTTCACTTCATAAAGTCTAACATCTGTCAAAATCTTGTTGGAACTGACAGTTTTTAGATCCGTCAAGTCTGACAGTCTTTATATTCATCAGGTTTGACTATCTATCCGACCTGATGGGTGGAAAGAGTGGTGGATCCAACAATTTTGACAGATTGTCAGACCTAAAGAGACCATGTTTGCCAACGTGTCCCGATCACGTTGTGAAACTGGAACAGTGAAAGGTAGTTAGATCCGACTATTTTATAGATTATCAGACTGGATGAAAAGAAAGGTTGTCAAACCTGATGGTTTGAAAGAATGTTAGTCTTCTTAAACTTGTCAGATCTGACAGTAGAAAAGAATGTTAGTTAAGAAAACAGACCTGACTGATAGTAAGAGTGTCAGTTGATGATTGTGTGATCCAATGGTAAGACAGATTGTCTGAGGTAATGAATAGAAAAATACCACATCCTATGGTATGATATATTGTCAGACCTGATGAATAGAAAGTGTTAGATCCAACAGTGTGATAAGATTGAGAGACCTGATGAGGAGGAAGACAATTATGGAAATGAGAATGAGGAAACATTGGCCTATTATTTACGAAAGGACAAGATGACAGAGGTCGGGGCTCTTTTACATTTTCAATGAATGAACAGAGAGAAAGCCTCTATCCAGTAATTTAGAAAAAAATATTTTTTTTTATTTTTTAATTAGCATTGACAGAAAAATTACAAACATTGAACAAAGTACGCAGGGAAAAGCCTGTCGAATATGGAGCCTTTTTTTCTCTCCTTATGCTTTTTTTTTTTTTTTTTTTTTTTTAAATCGTAAAACTAACAGTGTTCAGAGGGCGTATGAAAGAACACAAACATCTGACAAAATTGTATGGTTTTTTTTTTTGTTTTTTTTTTAAAGATTAATGGGAGATAGTAAGAATAATAACAAACCATTCTTAGAAGAAATAATAATAATAGACTATACAAAATTATAATTCTTTACCAAGAGCCTAATGCTAATAAAATTCATTTATATAATATATAAATATCATTAAAAAGAATCACAGACACATTAAAAACAAAAACAAAATGTTAAAAATTAAAAAATATTTTTTTTCCTTTAACTAAATATACAAAATGTAAATAAAAATTGTAATAATATTTAATAAAAAAGTCAAAAATAGTTAAAAATTATATTTTAAAAAATAAAATAAAAAGAATTGTTTTGTTCTTCTAAATTAAAAAAATAATAAATAAAAAGGGGGGGAAGGAAAATTTCTATAATGTAAAAAAGAGGTTAAGAAGGTTGGCAAACATGTGTCCCAGTTGTCAGCCCGCTGGAATCTCCAACAGTGGTGTATGTTGCAAGACAAAGAAAAAAATATAATAGGGGTATTCACGATCTTTGTGTTAACCCTGTTAGTTGTTGTGTCCTGTTAGATCGAGAAAAATGATTTGTAACATGAACATAGACTTGTAAGAATAGGCTAGTTAACATTGCTCGATCTAACAAGGCCATGGCCAATGTTAGATTTTAGGTCGAAAATGTAGTCACAATGCTATCCATTAGGGCGTAGGTAATCAACATGGAAGCCATGAATTTAACAAATGTTTTTTGTTTTTACACGTATTTTTATTCTTAAATACGTATAAATATTATTAAATACGATACATTTCTTTTGTTAATTTTTGACCTGTCCTTATACTCTCATTCATAATAGATACATCTCCTACCCTATTAAGTTGTAGGCTGTTAGACGTTAGGATACAAGTTAGATATGTCAGCACAAATTGAAGCGTGTAATTTGTTAGTACTTTTCAAGTGCATAATAGCATTTTGAATGAAAGAGTTGATTAATTTTTCTTTTTTATTAACTTCTGGCATCTTACAATTTAACAAAAAAGAAAACCAAAACAAACAACACACCTTCAAGGTTGTTCAACAAAACCTTATAGCTTTATTTTTGGTTCTACCAATCGCCACGCACAGCTTTGCGGAAAAATTAACGTTTAACATACTAAGAAAAGAAGGGGGCGTTCACGATCTTACTGGACATTTCTTTATTCGAGTAACAAGAGTTAAAATCTTACAAACATCGTGAATACCCCTAATATAAATAAAAGTGTATTTACAGTGTTGTTTTTTCTTTCTCTCTTTTGACAAACTAAAAAAAAAAGAGAAGAAAAAAAGTGACATTGATCTTCTTTGTTCTTGGTATCGTGTTTCTTCTTTCACTTACTGCAATTGTTTGTTTTGGAGGTGTAATATATTTCGGACAAAAATATCCCAAAGACACTCTTCGTAAATCGCTGAAAAAATTAACTAATGAAAATACCCTGTACACTACTGTTATATCATGAATGTATTTGAAGAAACGTACGATCACATGTGTATAGAAGCAGCCGTGTATCTGGCCTCGCCTCTCCTCCTCGTCCACTGGCTCGGACGGTACTGAAACGTACAACAAAATGGATCAAAACTAAGAAAACACTGTCATCCCTCTATTTGGGACTACAAAACTGTTTGATTTACGAGGTTAACAAATTTAAAATCTATTTACAATATTGAATATTGTTTGGAGCATAATAAAATCAAAAATTGAATTTATGGTGAATGAGACAAATACGAGACACACAACTCCATTACGAATCGGAAATGTAACCTACAATCTGGTTATCCTCTGGTACAGTGCAGCCAACACAACTACCTAATTTACTACAATAATGTAAGCAATAATTCTTAAATTTATATCAATTTATGAATAATAAAAATATATGTGCCTAAATGATGGAGAGCTTACTTTGATAAGGAACTGGCCCGAATGGTTTTGAGATTATCAATTTCAATGGTTGCAGAAATAATATGGTCCAACGGTTTGATAAACTGTCAGACACGATTAAGAGAATTATTGTCAGACACCATGGTTTAAAAAGGATAGTTGTGAAACCGAATCTGACAATCTAAAGCTGGCCATTCATGATTGCTCCTAGCAGTCCAAACGGAAACAAACCGTTCCAAAAACCACGTCAATGGCAAAACTGAACTGGCGTGCCGGGCTGTGCCGAATATTCGACTGGTTCAAACTCCATCGCGCTACTCCAAATATCTACGGCAAGGGGCGCATTCGTGAATGGGAAAACCCGCGTTTTTTTTTTTTTTTTTTTTTTTTTTTTTTTTTTTTTTTTTTTTTTTTTTTTTTTTTTTTGGCGCAGTCTCCATCTTTCTGTCACCGAGCAAACATCTTCGTCGTACATTCTCAAAAAGTCAAAAACATTTATTCTTTATTGGCAATAACATCCAATCGAGATTTTATTGTTGAGGTGATTGAATTGTATGAAAGTTTAGCATGTTTATGGAAAGAGGTGGACGATGATTACCACAATAGAAATAAAAGAAATTTGGTCCTCAACCAGTTGGTCGACCTTTTCAAAACAAAGGATACAAATGCAACAAGAGATGTGATATTGATAACCCCTAAGTGCTGAGGAGAAATCATAGTGGAGAACTTAGGTTCTTCATAGTTCATCCCTGTAGCAAGAAATTGTAATGTGGCTGCCAACCTTTCAAGTAGAGTGATGATTTCTCTCAAGACTGTCTTTTGTTTTTTAATCAAGGGGGGTAACAAGCTGGAGTAAACATAAATAAGACGTTAATCTTTTTTTTTTTTTGTGTAAGGTTTTGGTTGAAATGAAAAAATAGAGCCATGAGGGGATTCGAATCCACGACATCTGGCTAAATACGCCGCTGCTCTAACCACTTGAACTATCGTTATTTTCCCTCTTTTTGCCATTTTTTGGTGACCTAGAAGATTGAGTCATGACAGCTCAAGTGGTTAGCGCAGCGGTATATTTATCCGAAGGTCATGGATTCAAATCCCGCTCGTGGCACTAGCTTTTTCATTTCAACCAAAACCTTACAAAAAAAGATTAATTAATTGAAAGAAGTATTTGGTCAATAGAACACTAAATGTAATGAATAAAATATAATGAATAAATAAGACATTTCACCCTTCCTTAAATAGTTCCTCCAATCAGCGGTTTTAAGAGAAAAATATTTCTTCAAATTGTTGTGGGTGTTACGGCTTCTTACACCATTTCCTCTCCGGTTTTTTGCTTTTAATATATAAACAAACAGCAGCGTAGCACAAGAAATCATCATCCATTTTGAGAAGGTAATTCACTAGGTGACGTTCGGAGCGACTGGCTGTGGAGTGGTCGTAAATGCCCCCACAAATTTCAGGCACTCCAAATAGAGCTATACGGCTTTTCCAACCGTTAGATCTGACGTTTTGTGAAACCACCGTATCTGATCGACATTCAAGCAATTAGATCTGAGAAGCTTTTCCAACCGTAAATCTCACTATTTGTGAAATCACCAGATCTGATCCTCTTTTGAGCTGCTAGATCTGAGATGCTTTTCCAACTGTCAGATCTCACTATTTGTGAAACCATCAGATATGACAATCTAAAATCCATCAGATCTGAAAATCTAAACTTCTGAGAAGCTTTTCCAACTGTCATATCTGAATATTTGTGAAACCACCTGATCTGATCATCATTCAAGCCATTGGATTTGACAAGCTTTTCAAACTGTCATATCTGAATATTTGTGAAACCACCAGAAGATCTGACCATCATTATTGGATCTGACAAGCTTTTGGAACTGTCAGATCTGAATTTGTGAAACTATCAGATCTGATCATCTAAAAACCATCGGATCTGATCACTTTTTAAGCCACTGGATCTGACAAGTGACCTGACCATTTTTCACCATCAAATCTTTCAAACCATCAGATTCACAAAATATTACCAGACACTGATAAAACTAATATGGGTATAAATGACTTAGCGCTTACTTTGATGAGGAACTGGCCCGACTGCGTATGTGGATTCCGGTATGCGTACACAACCCAGACTGCGCCGCCCAGAGTGAGCAGCATGAAGAACAACGTTCCCAGCAGGCCAGTGTGGACCATCGAGGTCGACTCTTCCTTATCGTCTGTAAAATAAAAAAAATAAAAATACATAGATAAAATAAACTCCCCTTATAAGGCAGTTGTCTACACACAGCAAAGAACAATATTTTTTCCTGATTCAAAAGCAATAAAAAATGAATTTAAAAAAACTACAAATAACATTACAGATGGTACACAAATTTATAGAGAAAAAATTAACAACAGCATGCAAAAGTTTTATTTTGTTCATTGTTTTAAAATAAAACACAAATTCTGCTACAAAAAAAAATTATATACCTTATTTCTTTCTCCTCATTAAAAAGTATGCTAAATGACAAAAAATGTTCTGTTAATTGTTTAAGTGCGTTGACAAGGGATGTATCTCCAGCTGAGATAACCGATATCAAAACAAAAAACAACTATCTACGGGGATGTTTTATTTAATCATTATTTGTTATCAAAGTACAGTACTTACTTTGATTATTTTGAGGATGGGTGATTACGTTGGCGAGTTTCTGTACATGTTGATTTTGTGGATGGGCGATTACATTGGCGAGTTTCGGTTCATTCTCATTTTGTGGATGGGCGATTACGTTGGCAAGTTTCAATACATGTTGTACATCCTCCTCTTGTACACTGCTGCTGTTGGTGTTCTGTGGCATCAAATGAACTAACTTACTCTTCTTCTTCATGCAAGCAGAGGGATTCTGGATGGCATGTGAGTCGCACCTTTTCCGCTCCCATTCCTGCCGTTTCCTGTCGAAACCGGTTGAACATCTGTTGAGCTCCGGACACCACTTGCACTGGCATAAAAAAAAAAATTTAATTTATGTTTACATGATTAAAAAATGGACTTACATCAAAGCCTGTCTTGACGGAGGTGCACGCCAGGCACGACGTCAACGAGTGGCAAGTCAGCAGGGCATTTATGTAGATGACGGTCCAGTTTTTGATTTCAGGCCCTTTAAAATTGACTTGATGGTATTCGTAGATGATTTTCTTACGGGCGGCTGAAACGAGTTAATACAGAATTACACCTTCGGCCAAGAAACGAGGTTTTGCGGAAAACCATATAAAAGTAAAGACAATCGCCTGAAAGGGCTGTCAGATCTGACAGTTTGAGACGGGTCGGATCTGATGAAGAGAAAGATATCAGACCTGACGGTTTAAAACTATAATCAGATTCAATGGTTTGAAAAATTATCAAACCTGTTCATTAGAAATACTGTCATTCTAATTGTCAGACCTGACAGTTTGAAAGACTGTCAGACCTGACATTTGAAAGATTGTCAGACCTGGCAGTTTGAAAGATTGTCAGACCTTACAGTTTGAAAGATTGTCAGACCTTACAGTTAAAAAATTATCAGAATCAGTCAAACCATCAGATATGACAAACTAACATACTATCAGATTTGTCTGGCAAGCTTTTAATCTGTCAGGTCACGTCTGAGAATCATTCAAACCGTCGGATATTATCTACCAAACCTTCAGATCTGAGAACGACGTGACGGTTTAAAACTATCATTAGGTTCGACTGTTTGAAAAATTGTCAAACCTAATGATTAGAAAGTCTGTCAGACCTGACGGTTTGATATTGTCAGATCTGATAGTTTGGAAAATGGTCAGACTTGATAAATGGAAAGTCTGTTAGTTAAGACCTAATGGTTTAAAATATTGTCAGACCCTACTGTCAACTTTTAAACCATTAGGTCTGACAACCTTTCAAACTGTCACATCTGACAGTCTTGACAATTTTTCAAACCGTTGGATCTGATGATAGTATTTTTCATCAGGTCTGAGAATCATTCAAACTGTTGGATATGACAAGTCTACCAAACCATCAGTTCTGACAACTTTTCAAACCATCAATCTGATCTTTTTTTCACCATCAAACCTTTTGAACCATCACTTCCCAAAATACTGTCATTGTCACTGATTGTTGGTTTGTACAACCTTTTATTACGACAACAACAACAAGTACAAACTTTTGATAGTATTTTTCATCAGGTCTGAGAATCATTCAAACCGTCGGATATGACAAGTCTACCAAACCATCAATTCTGACAACTTTTCAAACCATCAATCGATCTTTTTTTCACCATCAAACCTTTTGAACCATCACTTCCCAAAATACTGTCATTGTCACTGATTGTTGGTTTATACTTTTATTACGACAACAACAATAAGTACAAACTTTTATTAATTTAATTAATAAATAAATTACTTACTAATGGTGTTGTGGTCAATGATGTAAGCATCACTGAGACCAACTTTGACCGGGTGTTGTTTGTCGTGAATTGAGTTGACTGATATCGGAATATCCCTGAAAAAAATAAAAAATAAATTTTAATGATGAATACGAATAATGTTAACAATAATGTGGCTTACTTGTAAACGAATATTATGTCGCCATTGTCGAGCAGCGTCACTTGGAATGTGAAAGGCCCGGCCTGTTTCAAGTCCAGGAGCCACACCCTCTCCCATTCGACTGTGAATGCTGTGCCTGAAGAATTGGGGGGGGGGGGGAATTAAAAAATATAAATAAAACCATATTAAGATCGCATACCGTTGTCCCTGTATTTGACGTAGCTGTCCTTGGTCAGGTTCGTGGCGAAGTTGGCCATCAACGGTGCTATGTATTGAGTTGCAGCGAGCCACGAATGTATGTAGTCTCCCGTATAGATGAAACCACCCGTCGCTATCGATATGTTCCTCACATAGTGGCCGTAGAACGGAAAGTCAAACTTCAGTTTAACAGTCTGCAAATCATTTTAAATCGTATAAAGTATACTTTTTTTTTATTCAGTCGATTTTTCTTACTTACAACAGCTCTGCGATGACTATTTGAGAGCATTTCGTTGACGATTACATCCTCCTCCTTGTTATCCATGTCGACCCAGTAGTGTTTGCTCAATTTGTCGTCGATGTACAATGTACTGTTATAGTACAAATGCTCATCCTGGAGAAAATAAAAATAAATAATTTTTTTTTAAAGAAATCGTTAAAATATTAATAATCCCTAGACTGACTGTTTGTTTTCTGGTTATGTTGTTTTTCTCGAGCGTCGCGTTGTTGTTGGAAACGTCTCTCGGATAGCCGTCCATCGGAGGATAATCCTCGGTCACGCCGGGAGTATCAGAACTTGAAGCCGTAGAGCTCAAGTTCGTCGTCGACTCTACAAAATAAAACACTAATAGAATAACATTTAAAGAGAGAAAAAAAAACTTACCTGAATGTTTTGGAGGTGTGGTGGTTTTAGCCGCCTGCATTGTGACCGCCATGTTGCCCGTCATGACCATAGGTGGCTTCAGCTTTGAATCCAAACCGCTGGCATCTGGAGAAAAATATAAAATAAATTTATTTAAAAAAAACTATAATAATAATTTTACCTTTTAGCATTCTCATGTGGGAATGGTAATTGCTAGCAAGTCGCGGGATTGGTGAGTCGACATAACGTTTCAGCCTGAAGTCATCCGATTTACACCTTGCGACTGTGTAAGAATAATAACCTGAAAGTTATTAAATAAAATTATTAGATGATAAATAGAGTGAAATCTTATTTTTAAATGCAAAAATAAAAAATATAAATAAGTAAATGGGTAATGTACTTGGGGAAAATTGTCGGATCAAGCACTGTAGCAGTCAGTCTCAAACATAGGCCTACTTTTTAATAATTATCTTCGGCTAAATCATCGGATCTGATAAGCTTTTGTACCATCAGATATGATCACATTTCAAGTGACAGAATCTGACAAGCTTTTCTACCTTCAAGCATGAACTCAAAATGTCAGGTCTGACTATCTTTTATAAACCCTCAGATCTGACAATTTATCACTGGTCAGGTTTGATTCTTTCTCTTTATCAGATCTGACCTTTTTTTTTTAATGTTCGGTCCTTCTATTGTCAGATTTGATCGTATTTTAAGTCACTGGATTTGACAAGCTTTTTTACTTTAGATATGATCACGTTTCATGTCACCAGATCTAACAAGCTTTTTATACTCTCAGATATCATTGTATTTCAATCACCAGATCTAACAAGCTTTACTACCATCAGATATGATCATATTTCATTTTTAAGTTACACTGCCAGGTGCAGTAATAAATTGCCAACAGGATTTGTCATTTTTTTCACCATCGATCCAATCATCGGATCTCGCTACAGCTGGCTAAACAATGCCTATCAGACATTTTATAGTTTCAGATAGCCAGACTCCTCACTGACAGAATCAGTAATGTTTGTCAATAACAGCAGTAAGATTGGACCCAGCAACAGAAACAGCCGGGCAAATAATCTCCTATTACTAGACCAAAGTTAAAATTATTTTTCATGAATCAGACAGGATTTGTTGACGGTCATACATTAATACTTCAATCCCTGAACATGTATCCTTATCTCTGGGACATTTTATCTCTGTGGAAGGATAGAGAGAGAGAATGAAAGAGAAAAAAAATAGGGAAGAAACAACATCCGTTTAGATAAGTACTAAAATCACAATGTAAAAGTCAATAAAAATGATTTGATAATCATTTCAATTACGCTTAAGATATATTATTTCACTAAATCCCCCCCCCAAAAATATAATTTTTATTGTTTAAACATTTGGTTGAAAAGGTCCTGATTTTTTTTTTTTCAAATTGTAATTTGATTTGAACAGCTGGCCGCCACTTAGCCAGTCTCGCCTAATTGGGCCACACCGGTATTTGACCCCGGTGGCTTTATTTGTTTAGCACTATCTACGTCTATTATACTCGCCTTTTGCAGTCTCGATTTTTTTTTTTTGTCCAGTATTGGGTTTTTCATCTTTTATTCAAAACCAAACTTCCCCACCCCTCTACTGAGAATTTTAAAAATTAGCAAGATTCCAGGGTCGGGAACGGACCAGCCACAAAGAACGCTAAGGTCAAGTTTTTTTCTCTCTCTCCTTCTCCCCTCCTAGTCGTCAGAGATAAAAATTTCAAGATTCAATAACAGAAAAAATTATTTACAGACCCTCGAAAATGATGAAATTTTAAAATATGAAATTTGGACAGCGGCTCTTTATTGACACTAATTGTTTAGTAGAGTTGCGTAACTTTCTCTCTCTCTCTCTCTCTCTCTCTCTCTCTCTCTCTCTCTCTCTCTCTCTCTCTCTCTCACACACACACACACACTCTCTCATTCTCTCTCTCTTTTCTGTCTTTCTTTCCCATATGGTCCCCGCTTTAATTTTTAATCATAACTGCAAGGACACCATTGTGTTAATAGTCTCCATTTGTCCACTCCAATATCAGAACTAGTTTTTTCCTCTTTTTTCTTTTCTCTTTCTCTCTCTCTCTCTCATGTCTGATATGGTTAATTTTTAGATTACAAACACTTCCATATTAATCTATGTGTAGATGTTGACTCATAAATTTGCCAGCTTTGCTCCATAGATACAGGCGGGATTATGGCTGACAAGGTGTTAGTTATGTGAAATGGCAAACAGCAAACTACATTTAAAAAAAGTGAACCAGAAAGTAATGCCTTGTCTCTTTAACAACTAAACAGGCAGTTGTTAAATCACTTACGCTTAATAATTTCATCAGTTTAATGTCAACCTAATAATCAACGAACTTAAATTAATAGTGCACAATGTTTAGATAACAAAGAAAACACATTTATCACTAAGGAAAAAAAAACTTTTATTACAAATAAACCATACACAGTCATACGTGGACCAAGTATCGGATTCAGCAAATATTTCTATCAGATCTTTCAGACAGGGCATTCCAACAGATCTAGGAAAATGCCAAGGCCTAGAAGACTCTATTGTCAAATCCAATGAGATCTAACTGTTGGGACAGCCATATGTGCTATTTAGACTGAGTCAGACTACCAGCAACTGGCTTCTAAGAGATCTGGCAATTTTTCACCAACATTAACAAGCTTTTCAAACCATCAGACCTGATCATATTTCAAGCCACCAGATCTGATAAGCTTTTTAAACCGTCAGACCTGATAATTGTTCATTATCAGTAAGTAATAAGATTTTCAAACCATTGGATTTGATAACATTTGAAGCACCAGATCTCTGACATGCTTTTTAAACTTTCCAATCTAACAGACTTTTCTATTATCAGATCTGATCATATTTAAGCCACCAGATCTGACATTACTGTCCAATCAACTATCCGTGATTGGATTGCAAGCGAAGCAACTTTTCATTTTAACAATTTAAAACAAGTCATTTTTCCCTGAACAAGAAGAAAAACATAAGAAATAATAAATTTACAAATTCGAAAGGGTGACATCCAGGGTAGACAAAGTGTCCCAACCAGCAGGACTGGCTGATATGTAGGTAGTCAAAAAGCAAGAGCATGTTTGTTCTGTTTTTTTTTTGTTTTTTTTTTTTTTTAATATGCCACCCCAATGGCAGGAGGAATTTTTCTAAAAAACATAGAAAAAAAATAGTTATAATAGTTATAAATAATTTCATTGCAACCAAGACCTTACAAAAAAAAGAATACTTAATTGAAAAAAGTAATTTGGTAAATAGACCACTAAACATAATAGATTTAATAATTATAAATTATATATTTTATTTTCTATTCTGTCCTGGAATTAATCGAAAAGAAAGATTATACCCAGATCTCCAAACATCATTGGAACTGTTTACAAATCGACAGTTTTTCTCTATGAATACACTTCTTTTTTTATACACAAATAAATAAGATAGCAGAAGAAACAGAAAAAACATCCTATCCAGGCAGATAAGCGTAGGCAGTATTTTTATTAATGATAACACTGAGTGATACAGCAAGCAATTCGAAGCCGAACATCAGTGTTCCAGTGATTAAACAAACAGTTGCATATCAGAAAGATAGCAGACATCAATGGAAAATATTATCACAGTCAGCAGTAGATTAACCATTTTTAAAATTTTAATATAGAAAAGGAATAAATCCTACGATATATGAAAGCATTTTTTCCTATAGTGATAAATTTCTGTGAACGTTTATAACCATATCTGACAAGCTATTCAAACCGTCAGATCTGACAAGCTTTTCAAACCGGCAGATCTAACAAACTATTCAAACCGTCGGATCTGATAATATTTCATGCCACCGGATCTGACAAGCTTTTCAAACCATCAGATCTGATCATTATTTAAACCGTTGGATCTGATCACATTTCAAACCTATAGATCCGACAAGCTTGTCAAACATCAAATCTGAACATATTGCAAACCACCGGTTCAGGGAAGCTTTTCAAACTGCCAGACTTGGCTATTTCTCAAATGATCAGATCTGATCACGTTTCAAACCACCAAATCTGAATTGCATGCACAAGTTACTTTTAAGCGTTTAAAACTTAATAAAATTGAATTGAACTTTTTATATATCCTGCCAAGGAAATAACCATATATAAGATTATATACCGAGCTCCATAGGACATTGGGAAAGTTTACGTATAACAGGTTTGTACCATCAAAAATTATTTATATTTTTACTTATACAATTGTAATATTAAATTCTATTGTAAAATTAAAAAATAAATGGAGAAAGTAGAATTTTATAGTGAAGAGTGGGCATTTATAACCTTCTTTCAAACTGTCACTTGTGGAGAATGTCGCTGGAATTTTTCCAAAACAATCTTTAAATTTGAAAATAAAAAATTGGGTGTAGCAAGTTTTGTCACCTCGGTTGAGACATCCTCCAACGAAGCCGATCTGCCCGACTCGAAGTCATACAAGAGTGGAAATACGATAAAAAATTTTATGAATAATAGAAGAAAAATTTGTAAACTTGCGATTTCTTTTATTTTTTCCCCTGTCGTACCTAGAATCGAAAAAATGGAGGTTTGAAAACGGCCATGAGTACTTTCCGGGAAAACCCAAAACGGTGTTTTCCCCCCTTCCGTTCAGGTATAAAAAAGGTGTTTTTTTTCTCTATTTGAAAATAGGTGGAAAGACACGAGGCGGATTGTTTTCACCAGAGCTACATCTATATTGGAAAAACAAAATCCAAGGTCTCGACAGTTTTCATTCCCCCCCCCCCCCGAGGGTGGCGATCCACCCCCAGGCCGTTGGTCATATTCGAAATCTTTATTGTTTTTCTAAATTTGGCTCAAGACAACAAGAAAACAATTTTTCTTGTTTTCCACTCTCGGAAATAAGGCGAAAAATGTAAACGGGTGTAAAAGTGGAAAGCACAAAGGAGACGACCTGTTGCACAAGCGTTTCGGACTGTTGCTTTTCCACACCCCCAGAAACAAAATATTTTTTCTCTCAAAACCCCCCAATTAAATTTTCAAAAATTGATTTCTAACTAATAATATTGTTTTTATGTGTACGTTACCATCATCCACGGACAGGCATTGTGTCAGAAGGGCTGTGAGGACGGTCAGAGTTGACAGACGTACGATGAAAGCCATGATCGAACTGGAATAGAAAAGTGACCGAGGCGGAGAAGGTGGGAAGGATCAGGGTGGCCAACCCAATCGTACAACCGTCCAAAGTCCCCGACGGGAGAGGATTCCCAATATTCCCATCACATCCGGCCAAAATTGAACCAAAACAGTCCAAAAATAACCGAAAGAACCTTTTCTATTTCATAAACATTCACTCACTCACTCTCTCTCACTCACTCTCTGACTCTTTCTCTGTCCCAAAGTACAGATAAAAAAATGCATTGCTTATTCACAAGTATTGACAACATTTGAAATTTGAACACTTAAAAAATAAAAGTACAGTTCAGACTTCAGTTCATTCACTTACTCACTCTCTCTCACTCACTATTTAGAGGACAATATTGTCCTAAATTTGTACACATAAAAAATAAAAGTTCCGTTCTCTCCCTCTCTCTCACTCTTTCTCTCTCTCACACACACACACACACACACACGTGCACTCACACACACACATACCGACCCAAAACTTTTCCATTTGTTTCCTTTACAATTCTGACTTCGTGCATTTTTGTCCCATTTGGATTACTGTAAAGGTCACCGAATGTCGATCACCATCAATATTCACCATGTCTCGAGATGCTTGTCTTGGCAGTCATCCAATAGCGTGCTTATGTATACACACGTACAGGGTTTGTATGACCACCCAATTTGTGTAGAAATGGCAAATTTTCACTAAGTGCCATGCAAGTCCTCTACTACTACCAAACATAATGGACAACTGTGAATCTGCGGTTACTGTTTTGTGTAGTGGCTACAAACACAGCCACAGAGTACTGTTACCCCATCCGTTTCTACACATTGGAAAACTGATTTTTGTGATTTGGAAGAGAAGCGAAGCATCCAACTTATTGGTTCAGTTTGATCAAGGAACTCCAAGACTGTTATGTTCAGCCGTTCCATTCTTGACCAACAGAAACAACGCTATGTGGTTCTTTCATTAATACACCTTCACTAGTTAGGAATCATTTATAATTTTTAAAAAATAAATAGCGGTAAATAGAATTAAACAATAACTGTTGATTGATGATTGAGTTGATTTACATACAGTACTGTTGGTTCCTAAATTTTTGGATGCTTTGAGTTTGTCTACTTCATGAACATTCATGCACTTTGAAGCCAACAATTAGCCAAGCAAGGCGAGCACCAAATATGTCCCCATTAATTGAGATTCAACGAACCTTTGCCCAGCATTCGGCAAATCTCCATGTCTGTAGCCACCTTAATGTTTGACGAACCGATTCATATGAGTAGAGAATTATACATAAATATCCTGGTACAAAGTGAAATCCATCAAGGGAGGAATAATGGCCTTTTAACCTTTGAATAAGCCTTTTAATCCCTGTAAGGTCTTTCAGTGCTGACACAGAGTTCGTTGGACTTTATGATTATTTATGATTTCTTTTATCTTGTACTCCAGTACAAGTACAAAATTATAAGTATTAAAATATTTAATTAAAACACATTTTGATTTAATTTTTTTTATATTTGAATTCAGATGAAATTGGTTGACACATCATCCAGGAAAGCCTCGAAGTCGTTCGTAGGTTTGAAATAGGTGGCTGAAAAAAAAAAGGAAATAGTCAAGAATTTAGTTTTTGTTTTTTGTCCTGAGTACCGCAGTAAGGGCGCTTTGTGTCGGTTCGGACGTAGAAAACGCCCCTGGCAGGAAGGAGCGTACCGCTTGGGCCGACTCTCTGGCAGTTGTACAAGGTACACCTACCATCTGGAGGATCCCTGGGGGGAAAAGTACATCAGTTTTGGGGTTTTTTCGAAAAATTCATAGTGGAGACACTCACGGGTTGTTCAAGTCCCACATCAATCCGTACATGGTGCAGTTGAGCGCCTCCATGTAGTACTCTTGGGCTTTCATGTGATGGCACCCAATGCTCTGTATCAAGCCTCAATCCCAATTACATAATTAATTTGACTTTATTCTCTCACAAAAATTGCAAAAAATCTCTCACTCACTTGCATTATCTTTCTCTTATTCACTTGCTCGCTCTTTCTTTTAAAAATCTAACTAAAATATTCAACTTACTGTTCAGTTTTGAGGAGAAATAGTCGCTGAGGCTTTTGTCAGCCGCATCGCAAGCCGGTTGCTTCGAACCTCCGTTCACGTAAAAATCAACATCACCTGCAAGAAAAATAAAATAAAAAATAAGAGTGTAAATGAAATGATCATCCTGGCAGAAAAAGATCAATGTGACAAACTATGAGCATGGTTTATCTGACATCCTCTATCTGACAAGCGATTCCCTATTCCTTTCTATTTTTCTTCGTTTTTTATCACTGTGCACTTTTTTAATTAAGCCAAAGTAGAATTAATCAGTAAAGAAAAACCTGATTATACTTATTTTATATTAATTATTAATTATTAATTAATTAAATTACATATTTGGGAAATAGCCACAAAACACGTGGTTGGTGAATTTCTGGAGGTTACGTTTTTGAACTGTTATCCTTATGGTATTTATATTTTTCTAATTTTCTAATGGCTGTTCTTTATTAAACAACAGCCAAATTTATTATTTTTTTAATAATTAATTCTTTTTAATTTCGTGTAAGCAGTTTTGAATTAAGATACATTCAAAGTTACGCATTTGTATTTTTTTTCCTGCGACATTTCGGAAACGTTTTCCCCCCACGTTCATACAAGCATCTCTCTGAATAAAAAACTATGACAATTCAATTATTTAATACTGTCAATTTGTTGTAGAATTATTATATTAATTATATATATATTTAATATGTAGACTTTAAATAAATACGTTGGGAAAAGGGTTCGTTGTGTCCAAAGCTCAGGCTGAAAAGCATCCTTACCAGATACACTTACTCTCCACTCACTACTCTACCTTTCTCTCTCACTCTCCCTCACTCACTCATTCACTCAATCTATCTTTCTCTCACATTCACTCTCTCTCACCTCTCACTCACTATGTCTTACTCACTCTTCTTTTTCTCTCACTCATTCACTATCGCTCTCACTCACTCAATCTTTCGTTCTATCTCACCCTTTCTCTCTCTAACCTCTAACACACTATATCTTATTCATTCACTCTTTCTTTTTCTCTCACTCTCACACTCTCTCTCTCTCTCTCTCTCTCTCTCTCACACACACACACACACACACACTCACTATCTCTCACTCACTCTATCTTTCTTTCCCTCACACACACGTTCTCTTACTCTCATAAAGGAATGACTTACGATGAAGATACGACTCAGTTCGGAAGAAAACAAATAGTAGAGGTCTTTTCAGAGGATCTTCGGAAGAGGTCAAAACAGAGAAAACAAATAGTTTTAATAACCTAAAGGTTCATTGTGCCCGAAGCTCAGGCTGGGAAGTACCCTAGCTGTGTTGGTATGGATGACCTCGACATAGAGAGCATCACCTGGGTCCAGCCTCGTCTCGGGTGAATCGGCCGTGAATCCAGGCTCCGCCGGGTCTAGAGCTGTCACCAAGCAGTTAAAAAAAAAAAAAAATACAATAATCCAGAAAAAAGGCTTGCCTGTTATGTAAGCTATCCCGTTTATCTTGTCGGCGATGTAAGACACAAGGTGAGCTCCAAGGCTCTGACCGATGAGGTGAACCTTGGACGGTTCAGTCAGACCTTTTTCCATCCTTTCAAGGAGGAAGCGTACGACGACACCTGCCACGGTTTTAGTATTAGCAGCCGCCTGGAAATACCCAGGCCTGCTGCCTTTCGACCAGTCGACACTGAATACGTTCGTCTCCTCCTAAGTTGCATTCAACAATAAAAAAAATTTAAAAAAACAAAACTCAAAAACTCACATGTTCGATTAAAGCCTCTTCCATTCTCCTGACCCAAGATTCATTGGCTGAACTTAAAAAACCATGTACTATGAATGTATAATGGCCTGCAACGTCCATGGGCATTACAGATAGACCTTTCTCACTCGGCAGCTCCATCCTAGAGTTTCTCCTTTAAAAAAATTAAAATAAATGTACAAAACCGTACCACATATATTAAAAGACAGACCTGTTTGTAAAGTAGATTTTGACGTCAATCTGTTCTGGAGAGTTAGGCACTGGATTGAAATAGCCCAGGGTGCGGTTGAGCTGTATACAGTGTATACCGGTGTAGCATACCTCGCCTTCCTTACCATCGGCCCAAAAGGCAAACCAGGCCACAAAGAACAATAAAAGCATGTTGAACAAGTGTTTTGTTTTTTTAAATCCAGGACGATCGGATCCTGTTTTATATCCAGGATTAAGAACCGAGAGTGCATCCCAGAATTAATGATCTACCGAATCAGAATCGTGTCAGTGGGATTGATTACAAAATATCACATTTGAATAATTAAAAACGATTGAGACATAGCCTGCCAATTAAAAATATCCAACGAGAATAAGAATGGTTACCGGCAGTTTAGTTCCATGATCCAAGAGTTCTCCTGAGTTGTCGAGTAGTTTAAACCAGATCCCAGAACCGCCTTCCAACTGGCAAAAAATTCATCTATTGGGATACGCTGGGGCGTACAAACAGTGCCTACCACTAAAACCAAACAGATTTTCCACCAACTTAACATCCTACAGTTCTTAAGACACTGGGATTAGAAAAAATAGACTAATTTTTTTTTAAATAAAATAATATTTATTTACATTTTTCTTAAAAAAAAAAATAATAATAATAATAATATCATGCGAGGACTTTGTATGGGTTGAGAATTCCTTTTGGGTCCATGACGCCCTTTATGTGCCTCATGAGGGCAATAGCCTCGGTCGACTTTGAGTAGTGGAGGTATTTGGCCTTTTTGAAACCTATGCCATGCTCGGCGGAGATGCTCCCTCCAACGGACGCGGTCCACTCGAATATGAACGGTTCGATGTGCTTCTCAACTTCTGGGTCGTACTTGTCGGTGAGTAAGTTGAGGTGCATGTTTCCGTCGCCAAGGTGGCCGAAGCCAGTGACCTCTACCCGGCTCCCAAATTTGCTCATATGCTCTTTCATCACTCGGGTCACCTCGTAGAACTTCTCGAGCGGTAGTGTTATGTCATATTTGAAGATATAGTGATTCTTTGCCATCGATTCCGCTATCCTCTCTCTCAATTGCCATATATTCTTTAAAAATAAATAAATAAATAAATAAAATAAGAAATTAAAACAAAAAATATTGAGTACATGCATGCGCGATGGTTCGTTGGAGAATGTGCCATCCAAGACGTGCCCCTCTTCCATGCAACGCTCAAGGAACGAAGTCATCTTGGTCGAATCATGCTCCTCAGAGCTGCCGTGTGTCTCAATCAGCATGTAAAACGGGTAGTCGGAGGAAAGCGGTGACTTGAGACCGAGCGTCAGCACCGATTCAAAGCTGGGAGTGTCGATCATCTCGCATGATGAAAGCGTCTCAGACAGCATATCCTTGGCGAGCCTGTAAGTCGCAAGTACGGCATCATAGCTCGGCAAACCTGGCAACAAATGTTTTAAACGATTAACGATTCCTTGTCCCAGAATTATACTCGTATCTACTTGACCTATTAACCATCGCATACAAGGGAAAAACCATAATTGTTATCCGGCAAACAGTTATTACATTAAAAAATAATAATAATATAATAAAATAGATTACCGAGGAAAGAAAGATTTACAGATTTAGGCCGTACAGGGCACTGGATCACGGCTTTCGTCACGAGCCCGAGTGTTCCTTCTGATCCAATGAAAAGCTGCCTTAAATGGTAGCCTGTGTTGTCCTTTCTCAGCGAGTTCAACATGTTGAGGATGGTGCCGTCGGCCAGGACGACTTCGAGTCCAAGCGTGTTGGCCTGCATCGTCCCATACCTTAGTAATCGCAAGCCACCTGCGGATGTAGAGATATTCCCGCCGATTTGACAGCTCCCTTTAGCACCTAAGTCAAGCGGCATCATCATCCCCCGATCCGCGAGTGCCTCGTCCAGACTCTCGAGAATGCACCCACTGTCGCATTTTACCGTACCTTCACTGACATGTTAACGTATTTCAATTATTTTTTTCATTGTTTACCTCCGAGTTGGTTTATATCATATATCTTGTTCATAAGACTGGTGGATATGATGACCTCATCAAATACGGGTACAGATCCGCCGACCAGGCCGGTTTTACCTCCCTGCGGGCAGACGGCGATTCGGCTTCTGTGGCATGTCTTCATTATCTGCGATACCTCTTCGACCGTCTTCGGCTTCAAGACAACCTTGCCTTCTCCTAAACATCAATGTTGTACAAAATGTCCATCGCCTCATCGATTCACCATACCTGCGACCGTTTTCAACCAGTCTACATTGTAAGCTGAGACTTCATTTTCATCTGTAAGCACACGATCTTTGCCCAAAATCGATTCGAACTCTTTCAGCTCCTTGTCTGTTACATAACCGAAATCGCCTCTTTTCACCTGGTACCTGTCCTTAGTGAAAAAGCCGACCGTCGAAAAAAATCTGCCTTTAGTTATCTAAGTAACATAAAGACATAATAAAAACCTTAAAATGAATTTATTTTAAGACATAATTAAGTCAAAATTTACCTTTTGCATCTTGTCAATTGATACGCAACCGGCGATTAACGGAATAGGTCAGATCCGACTCAAGGTCATGCTGACAACCAGCATTGATAACGCCCTTATCGTCGTTAAACTGAACGATCCCAATTCCCTTCAAGATAGAAATTCTGCAAGATTTTTGAATTTTTCCCACCCAAAACGCCAGAAAATTCGAACTCGTACCGTTAATAACACATTTTGACATTTTTATCGCCCAAAAATCCCGACGAAATCTGCACATCTAAATGTGGCGGGATCAGTCCGAATTCAATCATACTTCCAAGAACTTTGAATTTCACAGATCTTCATCATATAATCCCAGACGTCCCATTAAAAAAAAAAAAATAAATAAATAAACATAATAATACTCACTCTATAATTTATCCGACCATCCCAAAGCCCTAAAATATATTAACCAATTCAAACATCATTCTGTTCGAACGTTGGCAACCCTGGCGAACCTCCTCTTACTGCTATTTTGGGAAAAGTTTCCCTCGATTAATATTTTATTTTATTTTTTACTATAAAAAATGTATAAACACATGTCAAAATATGATAAAAATGAACAAAAAGATCAGAAACATGATGAAGCTGAAGAAGGGGCCTGGCCGAGAGGAACCCGGACCGAAAAAACGGAGGCTTAGCACTGTAATTAGTAATGACTTAGTTTATAAGGGGCCCTCCATAAACCCGGGGAAAAACATGTTTTACTCAGTTTTGTTCATTTTCCATTTAATTTTATAATTCCTTACCATAAACTAATTTCAATCCATAGAGTATTATTTTCTCTGTTAAATATACGTTTAAAACGTCTTTGTTTCAGCTCAAGAGAACGGCAACTTTACGACTGGCGGTGAGTAATCCAACTATACAAAATTATAAGAAATTTACATATATTAAATTTATCCGGGTTTTTGCGTCTTTTTATATATATTTAATATCGATATCTTGAGCTATAGATATATGAATTTAGTACCTACACAATAAAAAAAATATATCGATATCTTTAGTTATGAATAAAAAATAATTCAATTATGGAAATATGGAATGTTGATATATGAGAATCAACAGTGCATGCACAAAGTTTGTTTTATATTCAGTAAATATAATAGAAATATTGATATATATAACTCTTGAAGTTTGAATTATTGATGTATTAATATATCAATGTTTTCAACTATCGAAATAGGAAATATCGATATGTACAACTATCAAAATAGCGCTACCTTAAACAATCGATATTGAATATCGATATTTTGAGTTATAGATGCATCAACTTAGCACTTTCACTACTAAAAAAGCATATATTGTTATCTTGAGTTATGAATAACAAATAACGATATATTCCATTATCGAAATATGAAATGTCGATATATTAACTATCAAAACAGCTCTATCTTAAACAATATACATTTAAGATCGATATCTTGAGCTTTGGATATATCAAATTAATACCTTCAGTATTAAAAATGTATATATATCGATGTTCTTAGTTATGAATAAGAAATATCGATATATTCAGCTATCAAAATTGCGATACTTTAAACAGTCGATATCTAATATCGATATTTTGAGTTATAGATGTATCAATTTAGCACCTACAATATTAAAAAAAGCATAAATCGTTATCTTTAGTTATGAATAATAAATATCGATATATTCAATTATCGAAATATGAAATATCGATATATTAAGCTATAAAAATAGCTACCTTGAACAATCGATATTTACTATCGATGTCTTGAGCTTTAGATATGTCAAATTAGCACCTACGATATTAAAAAAGTAATTATCGATATACTTAGTTAGGAATAGGTAATATCGATATATTAAACTATCGAAATGTGAAATATTAAACTATTGAAGTTTGAAATATCGATCTATTAAAATATCGATGTTTTCAACTATTGAAACAAAATTATCGTTATAATATACTCAAAAAAAGCAAATATACACATGTTAAATACAGTCAAAGTATTGATAAATTGAAGTTAAAAAATAAATAAACATAAATAATACAATACAAATAACAATAATAAAAACTCGATTCCTTATGTAATCTTTATTTATACATCGATTGCAAACAACGCTTCCTTCGTTAAATCGATTCTTTAGATAAATCGTTATTTGTCAATCGATTACAAACATCGATGAGTTCGATAAATCGATTCCCGAGATAATTGTTATTTATACATCAATTACAAACCGATTCTTCGTTAAATCGATTCTTTAAATAAATAGTTATCGATTACAAACATCGATGAGTTCGATAAATCGATTCCTCAGATAATTGTTATTTGTACATCGATTACAAAAAAAATCGATGCCTTCTATAAATCGATTCACCAGATAATCGTTATTTATACATCGCTTACAAACAACGTCGCCGTTTCTTCAGATAATCGTTACTTATGCATCGTTGCCTTCGACAAATATATTAATAAGTTTGGTTTTCAACGCTACCTTGATTGGAAATAATAAAGCAATTAGCGATACATGTATATACAGAATGATATACAAAATATCGATATCCTAAAAAACTTAATACTGAAAATCAAATCTGTAAGAACATGTGGATGCGTTATATTTTTTCCTTTTTTTTTCTACTCCAACTCCGATTCGTTTCCGTCCACAATATGTGGTTTTGTGGACGCGCCTTCGGCGGAGGGGATCGGAAAGGGGGCCGCGCGTTTAGTTTTTATCCGCCTGTCCCACTTTCCACTTCCCCACCCGGGGAACCCTCCGGCAGTCCGCCCTCCAGTCTCGTACAGTCGGCCCGTCGCGACGCCTGTTTCAAGTTCGACGTCAAGCTCAAAAACACGGCCGCGAACTAAAAAAAAAAAATGTCTAAAATAAACTATCTCGTGGCAAAAAATCTGAGAGTTGATTTTGGATTATTATTGTGAATGTAATTTTGTTTTTATTTCCACTTGATGATTAAGTGTTGAAAATAAGTGAAAGTCAACGCACAATTTGGAATCATGGATAAAATGACACTACACTTTAAGGACAGAGACCACCAGGTGAGTTTTTTCATATGCCTAATAAAAACTGAAAAAAGAGGCCATTACTAGCATAAATAATTTTATAAAATAAATTATGAATGCACATGTATTGTGAATAGCACTATGTTTCTAAGTAAGGAAGAAAATCAGTTATAATATTTAACAAACCGGATACAATAAATGTACGTATATAAAAAATGTCAGATAGATATTTCATCTCGATATATAAAATAAACCACCAGACTGCATCTCACGATCTCTGAATAAATATAAAATAAATATACATTTTATAAAAGAAATCTCCATACTTTTGTTGATTTGAAGTATATCGATAATTTGTCTAAACTGGCGGATCGATTTTTAACAAATAAATGTAAGGTTTCCCTGTACCTAGGATATCGATACCACTCATTGGTAGGTTTCGTATATTTCGATTATTTAGATGTATACTTCGATAGTTTTTATATGTTACGTATATATCGATTGTTTTTTATATGCATCGATTAATTTGACTACCAATCGATAGCTTTTGTAAATTACGTATATATCGATTGTCTGGGTTACATATAGAATTTTTATATGTATCGATTAATTTGACTATTAATCGATAGCTTTTGTCTATTACGTATATATATATATATTGATTTTCTGGGATATATAGATTTTTTATATGTATCGATTAAGTTGACTACAAATCGATAGCTTTTGTATGCTACGTATATATGATTGTCTGGGATACATATAGATTTTTTATATGTATGGATTAATTTGACTACCAATCGATAGCTTTTGTATTACTTACATATCGATTATCTGTTGTACATATCGATTGTTTTTTATATACATCGACTAATTTGGTTACCAATCAATACCTTTGCATATTAAGTATATATATCGATAACTTTTATATGTATCGATTGTCTTGAATACATATCGCTTGTGAATGATATCGATGTTAATCTAATATATAGATATTTAAAATATCTTTGTACATCTAATACATCGATATTTATGATACCGATATCTGTAACTCTAATATATCATTCATGATATCGAGCTCTATGCAATTCAAATATTAAAGATATCTACGTAAATTTAATATATCGACATTTACGATATCGATGTCTATGGCTACAATGGATGCTGGCTTATAATCGATGTATTTGATTATTTTTTTATTGTGGGGCTCTTGTTAGACGCGCGACGTCCGGTCCGCCCTTTTTCACTGTTTATCTCCACCATTCCTGTCACGTCGTGGTTCCGGAGGAACAGTAAACCGTTGGAACCGTTCTGAATTTAAACCGTGGATCTTTCGTTTTATGCTAGCCGTACGCGATGAGCAATTAGTTGCGACCCAATTGTTTCAACAACGGATCGTTTAATTTGCAGGGGTTCTTTCCTCCTGGAACAGCTTCATCTGTACGGAGTTTCCCAGGCGGAAAAACGGAAAATCGAACTATTTTTTAAAAATTAAAGTTAAACTTCTTGGTGTATTGACATCAAAATGAAACAATCCGGTTCGAACGTTTCACCTTGAAAATCAGTTCAGTTGTTTTTCCATGCAAATACATAGAGGGAGGGAGAGAGAAGAAAAAGAAATTAAACAAAGCATCATCTCATTGTGAAAAATTTTCAACTTCCCATTGTCCGAAACGTCCGGTTCCCAGCCTGGGAGGATCATTATTGAGTAGGGCATCTGATGATTTATTGACATTAATCAAGAAAAATAACAAGCAATAAAGGCATATACGTGCAACAATATTTATAAAACTGAACAAGACGGGGTTTTTTATAAATATTTTAGGCTTTTTTTTAGGGGATATCGATATTTAGCCAATAGTTGATTGTTTACAGTCTTAATATCGATAGTTATGTTATCGATTTATCATATTATTCTTTCAAGCTACACTTTGCATATCGAGTTTGTACTTCGATTAGTTAATATATCGATATTTTGGAAATTTCTGTCACCAGTGAATAATTTCACGATTTCGATAGTTAATATATCGGCGTTTTAATTTATATATCGATATTCAATATATACATCGATTATTTAAACATACAATCTATATATCAATTAATTAACCGTATGTGCAACCCTTCGAATATATCGACAATGTGTAGGCAGATATCTATAGCAATTGTGTGTATCGATTATTGAGACGTAAAATCAATAACCTTTGTATACCTTTGAATATATCGATCAGTATACATCTTTGGACGTAAATATTCATTTTAATTGTTTTATGGATATATATGGATACGTTTTTGTATATATCGTTTATTTGGATGTATATATTGACACGTCTTTGTAAATATCTGTACATAGTTTATTTTGACGTGATATCGATAACTTTTGTACTATCGCTTATTTTCACTTTACATCGATAGCTGTTGTATATCGATTATGGAGACATAAAAATTAATAGCTTTTGTATA